AAATTAGACTCCCAGGATATAAGTTTATGCTGAATTGAAGCAATTAAATTGTTGAACAAGAAAGTTTTTTTTCTACCCTTAAATAAAGGAATAGTAAGGTACTTAATAGGTACCTGCCCATGCACAAAACCAGTCAGATTCTTAATAACAAAGATACGATTCCTCTTCATATTATTAGGGACAATGAAACAACTTTTATGGTTATTTATGGACAAACCACTAACAGTGTAAAAATCATGAAAAAAAATACATAAGTCTATTGATATTATTCCGAGAAGCGTTCATGAAAATGATAAAATCATCAGCAAAACAAAGGTGAGAAATAGGGAAGCCCCCGTGGTTCTGAAATACATGTTAGGTTGATATTCAAACATGCTAGCAATATTGCTAGAGAGGTAATCAACAGCTCTAATAAAAAGCGCAGGGGACATCGGGTCATCTTATCTTAAACCATGAGAAGACTTAAAAAAACTAGAACTTTTGTCATTAATAATCATAGAAAAGTAGGACTCCTTAATACAATTCTTAATAAGATTTATTAAATCTAAATTAAAACCAAAAGACTTGCAAGATATTATAAATGAACTATCAACTAATATTATCACAAGCTTTGGAAATGTCCAGTTTGAGGATGGAATTACCACCCCTCACCTTAATATCCAAATCATGACAAAATTCTTGGGCAAGCAAAATATTATCATAAATAGGGCGACCTTTAACAAAACCCATTTAAAATTGAGAAATGATCTTTGGAAGAACATCAGATAATCGATATATAAAAATTTTAGAAAGTAATTTATTGAAAAAAGTGCAAAGACTAATAGGTCTGTAATCATCCCAACAAGTAGCATTACTCTTCTTAGGGATGAGAACAATAGAAGTAGAGGCAAATAACTTAGGCATATGGTTACCAGCAAAGAAATCCAAAACAGCAGCAAAAAGATCATCCTTAATGATATCCTAAGCTTTTTTAAAAAAATTAGTACTAAAACCATCAGGGCCAGCCACAAAGTTGCAATTCATATAAAAACAATAGTTTTTAATTCCTCAAAAGAAGGGGAGCTAGCAAGCATGACATTATCCACCTCAGAAATAAGAGAGGGAATAATGGACGGGTTAATCAAATTACAAGGAGAGAAATCCTTATTAAGCCTATTTTTAAAATGCTGAACGGCCAACAAAGAGATTTCCTCACCATTCTCAGTAATATACCCATCATCCCGAGCAATTTTCAGAATGGAATTAGAGGCACATTTACGATTAACCAAAGCATGAAAAAACTTAGTATTATTATCACCCTCCACCAAATACTTAGTAGCAGCCTTTTGTTTCTAAAAAGTCTCTTGTTGAGCCTGAAGATTAGAAAGGTTGGATTTAGCCTCTCTAAGAGAGTCAAAATTAGCCTTAGTAGGAAAATTTTGACAAAAACTCACTCTATCATTAACCAAATCTTCAGCTTTTAAAATATTAGTAAAAATATTTTTGAAAACATTATGATTCCACCAATTTAAGACTTGCTTAAGCTATTTCAACTTAAACCAAAGCCTATTCATACCCCCAATAGAATTGTCAGGATGAAGACAGGCATTCCAATTATCTTGCACAACACCTAAAAATGAATCATGTTGAAGCTACATATTTTGAAAATTAAATTGAGGAACAGCATTAATCTGACTAGTATTAAGGTCAAGAAGTAAGGGAGAATGATCCGAAAGAGTACGACTAAGATGCTAAACAAAAATAATGCTAAAAGAAGTAATCCAATTATTATTAAATAAAATACAATCTAGTCTTTGCCAAAGGCGCCCTCTATTCCAGGTAAACTAATTACTGAAAAACTAATGTCAATGAGATTACAGTTAATAATCATATTATTAAAATCTTCCATAGAATAAGAGTTAGGAGAAGATCCCCTAGAACGCTCGGCAGGATTGAAGATAGCATTAAAATCACCCCCACCAACCAAGGAACATGATACATTCTATGGAAATCAGTTAATTGTTCACACAAAACTTTCCTAATGCCATGAGAGGAAGTCGCATAAACAAAAGAAGCACAACACTTAACATTTATAACATCGATATAACAATGAAGCACTTGAGTAAAGTTACCAAGAACATCAATATGAACCGAGTCTTTCCAGAAAACCCAAATCTTATTAGCACAATTAGCCATAAAATGCTTAAAACCAAGAAATTTAGCAGTACTAGGTAACTTTGAAACATTAAAAAGAGGTTCAAGCAAAACCAACATAGATATATCATGAATACGACAAAGATTCTTAACCCGTAACTTAGAAGAGGCACACCCAATGCCCCTCACATTCCAAATAATCGATTTAACCATAACAAAAGAATTAACGAGTAATTTGAGACCTGGTATGGATACCAGATTTTAAAACAAGATTTGTATTCCTTCCCGATTGTAACATAGGATTTTTGCTCTTTCTACCACGTTTACCTTGACCTTTAACAAAGCTAGTATCCAGATCATCTTTAGCAAAACACGTAGAAGTAAATTCAAGATCCTCATTATTAGTAAGATTATCATAACACATATGGGAGGTAGTAGGAGTCTTATAATCCGGAATAGGATCTATAGCGTTACCTTGGTGAAGGAGCTCACCTTCTTCCAGCGATTCTTCCCCATCCGCCTCACTAATATGCAACCCAAGCTGAGCATTTTCTATAACAACTAAATCCTTCTAACTAGATTCTCCATGAACAAAAGGAATAATCTGGAGATTAGAATTAGCATGTTCCTGATTATGAATAGAGCATAAACCATCACCAACATTAGTAGTTAAAGGAGAATTTGAAGAGCAAATTAAAATGGGAGCAATAGGATTAGTAGAAGTTGGAGAAGATGATTCGTTCAACCCTTGATTATTCAAGAATAGCTTAACAGCAAGTGAGCCATTCTCATTACCGCTAGTATCAACCTGTTTAGGATGAGAAACCTCAAGGGATGCCTGAGCTGTTAAAGTAACACAATTAGAAATAGGTAAAGGATCATTCAAAGTATTTAAAGAACCATTAACAGCAAGAAAGTGAGCATCTTTAGACATTGAAATAATTCCTTCATTCTCCACATGATCCAGGTTATCATTACCATTGTGAGCAACATGATGCAAGTTATCATTATAAGATGGAACTTCAACATTTTATTGAGATGGTTTAGACACAACATTACCTTTGTGAAGATGAGGATGCAACCTATAATTATCGTTAAAAGTGTGGCCATGCATTTTACAGTGAAAGCCGAAAATAGGTAGATTTTCAAATTCAACCTTTTGAAAGTAGCCGTTAAGCTCAGAACCTAACCAAACCTCCGACAGATATTTCTTAGAAACATCAAGTTCCACAAGCACACGAGAAACAGAGGGACGCGAGATAGATGTCGTGGCCTGATCAATTTGTAAGGGCCTTCCAAAAATCGACGCTAGGCCAAACAAAATTTGCGTATTGAAAAAGTGTAATCTCAGGTTAGGGAAGGCAAACCAAATCGGCGCAATAGGAGATTCCTCACGCACATCAAAGTTAGGCGTCCATTTGAGGAGCCGCATTTGACAACCCTGCATGTAGTAAGATCTACGCGCAAAGATACGACTGTAGTCCAGATCGTTCGTTAATTGGATAGCAACATGCCGCGGATCCAGCAACCCGACATGAAACGACCCAGCAAGTTTCAAACTCACAAAAAAATTTTCCAGATCATGTCCATATTAGGCCGACGTAACACAAATTTACCTACAAGAGTAAGGGCAAAAGGGACTGCAAGTTGCGAAACAACAGAGTCATCGAAAAGCAAAGCAGGACAACCCTTAAAAGAAGACTGCACAAAACAGAGCTTAGGAGCAGCAGAAGAAGTGCCATAAACAACCTCCTTAAAATATCTAGTGTAGCCATTGGAGGAAACAACATTCGAGAGGAGAGATGACGATGGAGTCGTCATCTCCCAAACGAAAAGCAACCGAAAAACCACAAATTAAAGCCACCAGAGAAAAAACAACAAAGCCAAAGGAAAAAAATGCAGCGAAAAATCAAACAAAAACACCATAAATCCAAGGAAGAAGAGCGAGAGAAACGGAAACCTTAAATCGCCTCAGAGTCGCCAGACGGGAGCACACATTATCTTTCTCGACAAAACTTTAAGATAGCATAATTTATATGGTTAGAAAAATGATTTGAAAAAAATTAGGTTAGCTTAAAAGTTACCTAAATTTTGACTAAATCTTCCAAACAAATGACCACTACGGCTACAAATATAGTGCAAATTATTGTGTCTGGTGTCCGTATTAGTCCGGACACCAATAAAAACGCGCCACGTCACTCAAAAATACCTGGGCCCAGTGCATCCGGGTGAGGTGGCGTGTCCGGATTGGATGTCCGCATGTCAGTTGACCGGACTCATTAATTTGCCAAATATAGATGCAAGCAAATCTAAAAGTTGGCTTCATTTTTTATTTCAAAATTAATTCTGAAAATTAAAAATCTCTTAGAGAGTAGCGGATCAAAGCCAAGCTACGGAAGAAGGGTTTTTTCTGGGGAGCTCTGCTAGGGTTTCCTTGGCGCCTCCTTCTTTTCCCGCGCTTCCTTCGCCGCTCGCTGGGGAGGGCTTCTCCCTCCCCAACCTCCCTTGCATGGCTTCGGCCTCCTACACCTCTGAATTTCCTCCCCTTCCTGGGTCAGGAGGAACTGTTTTCTCTGCTCCTCCTGGACTTAACTTCCTCAACAACCTTACCAACAAAGATCCTATTGCCTCGGAGTTTTCTCTCTCTTTTGTTCCTCCAGCACCAAAGGTTCCCTTTTCTGCTGGTGAGCTTCAGCTTGGGACGTCCGACTGGAGTCTTTCGCTTGTCGGTTACTCTGTTGGTCCGAGGCCAACTTACTTGAGTTTGCAGAATGTGGTTCAGAAAGCTTGGAATCCCAAAGGTGCGATCGACTTGCTCTCTTTGAATGATGGATTTTTTCTTTTCAAATTCTCGGCGAAGGAAGATTATGACGCTGCCTGGACTGGCGGACCTTGGTTTTTTTTTCGGGAGACCCTTTATTTTACAACAATGGAATCCTAAGTTCATTCCCAAGCGCGATGAGTTCACCTCCATCCCTATCTGGGTAAAGATTGTTGACCTTCCGCTGGCTGTTTGGAACCCTCCGGGCATCTCCAAAATCGCTAGTTTTATCGGCCATCCTTTAGCAGTCGACGCTTTAACTGCTCGAAAAACCCGTCTAACCTTTGCTAGGGTCTGCATCTTGGTGACAAGCAAATCTACTTTTCCCGATGAAATTCCTATCTCTTTAGATGGTGATGATGTCAACCTTAAAGTCATCTATGACTGGAAACCCACTCCTTGCTCTGGCTGCGGCTCTCTCGTCCACCCTCCCAATCTTTGCCCCAAAAATCCTCAACCGAAAACGGTGATTCCCTTTCAACCCAGAGCCAGAAGCAAAAGCAGACCCAGAGGTAGACCTCCTCTCCCCCCCTCCCCTTCTCCTGCTATCCTTTCTTACCCTCCATCTACCACTGCCAATCTTCCACCTACTGCCGCCGATCCTCCTCCAATAGTCGCTCCCAGCCATGAGGAGGAAAAGTCTAAAACCAACTCCCCTGTCTCTGTCCCAATTCCTAATTTAAACCTTCCCTCCTCTGTTGTCCCCGAAGATCCTTCTTCCTCTTTTACTAAGACTCTACCTTCCCCCTCGATCACTAATGATCCAGGTGAGGAGGAATTCATTACTGTCCCGTCCTCTCCAAAAAATAATCGCAAAACCACTCCTCCTCCGTGGATCAAACCCACTGGAAATCTCTCTACCTCACCAAACAAATTTGACCCGCTCCTCTTAGAAGATTCTACTGAGCAATCCGGAGAATCAGAACACTCCTCTAGCAACATCATTCCTCTTTCTGATGAACCTCCTGATCCCAAACAACACAGCCAAAAACAGCCTGCTAAAAATCCCAAGACCAAAAGCGCTAAGAAGGCGCAAAAATCCACTAAGTCTAAATGAACCTTCCCGCCATTGGTTGCTGGAATGTCCGCGGTTTCAACAGCCCAGATAAAGTCTCTGCTTGCAAAAAATTAATTTCTTCTCATCGCCTCGACCTCCTCTATATTCTTGAAGCAAAAATTCAACTTCATCTTCTTTCTGATGACTGGTTCTACCATTCCCACGAGGTTTTTAATTTGGAAGCTAGCTGCAATAATTTTGACAATTCTGGCCCAGGGCGTATTTGGTTGAAATGGAATTCGTCTGCTGTCTCTTTCCAAATGTCTCAATGCTCCCCCCAGTTCATCCATGGTATTGTTTCTTCACCACTTTCTGCTCCTTTTGCCTTAACTGCGGTTTATGCTGCCAACACGTTGGCAGACAGGATTTCACTTTGGAAAGAGCTGGCTCTAATTGCGGAGGGGATGGTTGGCCCTTGGGTCATTATGGGTGACTTCAACTGTTTTAAAGATCTGAAAGATAAACAAGGGGGTGCTCCCCCTCATCACAGCCAACTGAACGAATTAAACTCCTGGTTATTTGACTCTGGAACTTTTGATCTTTCCTCTACTGGTTTGAATTTCACCTGGTTTAACCAAAGATCTGATGACCCCATTCACATCAAATTAGATAGAATGATTGTTAATTTTGACTGGCTTGTTAATTACCCCACCTCCTACTATACAGTCGAACCCCCTGGATGTTCAGACCACTCTCCCCTTATTCTCTGTTCGGGCAATCTCTCTAAGCCGGCTGGGAGATTCTTATTTAAGAACTACTGGATTCATATGGAGGGGTTTTGGGACTGTGTTTTATCTGCTTTCTCCACTCATACTTGTGCCAGCCCTATTGCCAATCTTTACCTGAAGCTTAAAACGTTGAAGAATTGTCTAAAGAAAAGGAATTGGTCTTCTGCCAATTACCTCCAGGATAAGGTCTTGTTGTTGGAGCACAATCAAAGTAGATGTTTGGAACTTTTGCAAAGGGACCCTCTCAACTCTGAACTTAACATTTCTCTTAAAGAAATCAATTCCTCTTTGAGTCTTTACCAGAAAGCTTGGACTAACTGGATAATGCAAAGGGGGAAAGCCAAATGGCTATCCAATGGTGAGGATGACTTGGGATATTTATATGCTAGAATTAAATCGAGAGGCAATTCAAATTGCATCAAAGCCATTACTACTGATGATGGGATGTTTTCCTCTCTCTCTGATATTGCTCGTGCAACTGTTAACCATTTTAAAGGGATTTTTAATGCCACTCCCCCTCCCCTTCTGAATGGTGAGATCATTTACCCTAAAGGCTCGGTTATACCTCAAGAGCACCATTCCTTGCTGACTACTCCGGTTACTAGTCAGGAGATCAAGGATGTTATTTTCTCTGGCTCCAAATCCTCTTCCCCTGGGCCCGATGGTTACACTTATGAGTTTTATAAATCTACTTGGAGCATCACAGGGCACTATGTTTGCCAAGCTGTTAAAATTTTTTTTGAAACTGGTTCTCTCCCCAAATCTGTTAAAGCCACGACTATTGTTTTGATTCCCAAAACTTCCCATGCCTCTCATATTAATGAGTTCAGACCCATCTCCCTCTGCAATACCTTTTACAAAATCATTGCAAAAATTTTGGCTAATAGGTTGAAACCTTTCATGCCAAAAATCATTCATAACAGCCAGGCTGGATTCATCAAGGACCGGTTAGCCACTGATAACATCATTTTGGCTATGGAAATTCTGAAAGATTTCAAGCATACTTCTGGGAAAGATTACTTCTGTGCAAAATTGAATATCAAGAAAGCTTTTGATTGCATTTCTAGAGATTTTATTATTTCTAGAATGCACGAGAAAGGTTTCCCTCCTAAGTTCATTTCGTGGATCAAAGGCTGTATTGTAGATGTGCCTTTTTCTGTTTGCATTAATGGAGCTCTCCAAGGCTATTTCACTTCTACTTCCGGCTTAAGACAGGGATGTCCCCTCTCCCCCCTTCTTTTTGCCATAGCTATGGATGCTTTTTCTAGTTATCTGGATGGTAATAATTTTGGTGGTTTTCCGTGTGGTAACACTTTTTTCAACCACCTCTTATACGCCGATGATGTGCTGGTTTTTGGGGCTGCCACTGTTCATAATGCTCATATTCTGAACCAAATCCTCACTGACTTTGCTGATACCCCGGGCCTTCACATTAACAGAGATAAATCCTCCATTATGTTCTCCAGGGAAACCCAAACCACCTCTGAAATTGTTAACATCCTCCATTTCTCCCAAGCTGTTCAAACTTTCAAATACCTTGGGATTCCCATCTCCACCAAAAAGCTTTCTATTTCTTACTTCCAACCACTACTGAGTAAACTTTTTACTCTACTTGCTGGTTGGAAAGTTAAATTTCTGTCTTTTGCAGGTAGGATTCAATACTTGAAATTTACAATTGCTAACACGATTGCGTATTAGATTCGGGGAGCTATTATACCTAAAGCTGGTTGTAAACTCATTGATAGAATGTGTGCTAGATTCTTATATCATGGATCTATTGCTGAGAAGAAGCTCCATCTTATATCCTGGAAGAATACTACCATGCCTTATTGCTTGGGGGGTCTTGGCATCCCTGACATCAAATCCATGTATTTTGGGTTTGCTAGCACTTTTCTTTGGAGATTCTACTTATTTAATACTCCCCTTAATAGCTGGTACAAGTTGAAATTTGATTCACCTTTTAAACCCATTAGTTCTAAGGCCTCCCCTTACTGGAAACTTATTTGCTCTACTGCTATTTCTATTAAGAACTCTCTGAAATTTCATGTTACTGATTCGGAATACTCCCTGTCTCTCAATTGGGACCCTTGGGTGAATGGGCAATCTCTAGCTGATCTTAATTTGCATTGTTTCCCGCCTGACATGATGGTGTGCAACCTGGTGGCTAATGGCGTTTGGGATTTGAGAAATGTTCCTGTTCATCTGCAACAACTTTTTAACTCTATGCCGATTCAGGTGGGAGGAAATGTGATTTCCTGGACTGGTAAAGGTGTACCTAATTTCAAAACTTTTTCTAGGAAATTTTTTGGGGACATTTCTGATGTCCCTTGGCACATTTATATTTGGCATAAGCATTTTGCCATCCGCTACTCTTCATACGCCTGGCTTGCCATTAATGGGGGACTTAAAACTGCTGATGTTTTAGCTGCTAGAAGGATTCATATTAACACTCGTTGTTACTTTTGCCATAATGAAGATGAATCCACCTCCCACCTGTTTTTTCAATGCCCATTCTCTTTCTCGGTCTTACACGCATTGATCCCCGATGTGGGATGTTTCCTTCTTAGGCCTACCATTATGCAACTCTTTGAATTTTATGAGGATTATCAAGTTTTTGGTGCTGCTGAACGAAATTTCTGCTACCTCTCTACTTGCTGTATGGTTTATTTCCTTTGGAGGGAGAGGAATGATAGGAGGTATGGTGGCATGGTAAACTCCGTTTCTGCTCTCTGCCACAAAATTTCAAGGGCCATTTCTGCTAAAGTTTCCAAATGGAAACACATTGACAGTTTACAAACCACTTTCCCCAACTGTTTTTCTGGGGGCTTTTACCAACAGGCAGAGAATTTTTGATGTCCCATGGCAATGATGATTTGGTACACTTCCCTGGACGGCCTTCGTCTGCCACTGATGCTGCTTTCCCCTTTTTGGCTGTTGACTTGGTCTGGTACTTCGTCGGCAACCGGGAAGACATTCGGGCTCCTTTTGGTGTTGAACATTTTGTTCAGCTAGTTTTTTAGATATCCTGTACCAATTTTGTATTTCTGAGCCCTCTTGGGACATATTTTGTTTCTTTGCCTTTGGTTTCCTTTTTGTTATTTACTTTTCCACTGTTCTCTAGCTTCCTTTTAGCTAGTTTTTTCTCTTGTAATCTTTTGGTTTAATATACGGGCTTTGCCCAAAATTCCCCAAAAAAAAGTAGCGGATCAAACTTTAGAACAAGAGTTAGAGGAGAGAGGGAGAGAGAGACTCTGCTTTTGGTGAGTCACAAATGGCAGCAGTCTCCTTTTGCCGAAGCGTTAACCTCATACCTACCCGCATCGTCTCCAGAGGTGAATTAAATCAGCACGGGTCACCCACCGCAACCAGACCGTTGCTATTTTCGAGGAGGAATACGCTGATCCGATCAGAACTCAGGGATCTTGATCTCTATTACGGGAGAAACAACGAAGCAATCCATGCCAGTCGGAGCTATTCCTCCTCGCCGTCCGTGGTGGTGGCGTCGCCCGCGGTAACATCCCTTGCGCTATCCCCCAAGAGGTCGAAGAAGAACGTCTGCCTCTTCTTCTGCGAAGAGATGAGGAACCTCGCGGAGCTTATCGCCATGGAAAGCGATGCAATCGAGCTAAGGAGCATCGATTGGAGGTAGAATATTCCGTGAATTTCATTGCATTGTCTTTTTTTTTTACCCATACGAATATCATGATGTGGAAATTGTTATTGCTAGCGCATGATACAGCAATGCAATTTGTGCTTAAATTTTGGTTTATTAATGCTGAGAATTTGTTGGGGAAAAACATGTAATGATTATCAATTAAATTTAGGATTTTTTTTTTTAAGAGCTCTTTTCTTTATACTAATGTAAAGAAAAACTATATGGTTTTTGTCTAATCAATACTGAGAATAGAGGTAAAAAAGCACAGAAATAAAGAGAAAAAGTCTCACTCTGAAATTTTTGTAAAATGAGTTTGAGTGTAAAAAATTGTGTAAACTAAGTTAATCCATCGATTCTCTATTTATGGAATTGAGTTGGGTTTTAATTGCGGCAGAACTTGCTACATAAATAGCTATACAAAAAAATAGAAGAAATATACAATAGTTATATAGCCTGATTAAAATATTGGACTTGATGTTGTCTGTTGAGCTCTTAAGAAGTCTCTGGCTTATTCTATATTGATGGTCGAATAGTTGAATAGCTGATCAATAGTTTCCCATAGTAAGTCACCCCCTTGAGTTGTCAGTAGGCTGACTTCATAGATGGTACTCGATAATAGGCTACTTTCATCTGACTGGAATGAGTTTTTAGATCTTAGTTGTTTGGTAGAGGTGAATTCATTTATAGAATGGTGAGTTCGCTTCGGAGCCTAGTTCGAGTAAACCGATTTAGCTTGAATTGGTTTGACTTAGCTTGAACCCAATTTTCTGGATAATTGGGTGCAAGTTTAGTTCCACTATTTTCTAATATTTTGGAGGTTTATTGCGAAAATAACAAGGGAATATATAAAAAATATTATTTATTGATTATTTATAAAACTTTTATAATATTTATTTTAATATTAGATATTTGTCAACCAAAATTGATAGACTGATATAGAACATAGTGCTAATCAAGAGAAAGGAGGTTCAATTACAATATCCAAGATTAGGAGGGCTTTACTAGAGTAAGGACTCAAGAATTAGATTATTTTTGTTATTTTCTTTATGTGAATATATTATCTCATAAGTGGAAGTTTTTTTCTAAGTGTATTTATAATTATATGTTGTGTTAGCCATCTTAATTCACCTAATTAAATTGCTTATTTGGAGTAGAGTGGCCAGCCTTTGCATGAGGAGTTGTAGTTGGCCAAGTGTGCAAAGGACGAAAGAATTATGATGGTTACAAGATGGTTATACTAGTGGCTCCCCTCATTCCCTCTCTTTTTTTATATTAAATTTCCCTCTAATTTAAGATTTTATTAAATACTTCTACTAAGTGGAATGAAGAATTTATTGATGTTCATTGATAGAAATTGAAGACAATCTTTTGTTTGGAACTTTATGGCCGGCCAAACTAGAAAGTATTTGATGATGCTCTCTAGCACTAATATACTTGACACTTTACGTCATGTGTAATTTATGCATGTTAATTTGTTCCTTCATAGTTCAATACAAATTTAATATGTCATCTTTTAACATATCATTTGGGTATTTTATAAAAAATCACCTCTGGTAAACCGACACTTTTTCTAAAAGAGGTGTGCAGTGCTCGACACATATCCTATAAGACACGTATTGAACATGTGTCGGACATGCCAAAAATGTGTCTGATTAAAAAAATATTATGTACAAATTGGGCACGTGTGTCCGACATGTGTGCCTTAAAATATTTTATGAATATTTTTAATATATTTTCTTTTATTTAAAATTTTTTAATTTAAAATATAAAAATTAAATTTCTTATTTTATATATGCAACACCAAATCAATCATCCACTGTCAATACCATATTCATCGAATATTCTCATTTTCATTTGTCACTGATGGGTCACGACTTTAGTTTCAAAACAATACCCGATGTCATCTCAACATTGATATTTGACGTTGTTAGACCATCTACATTTCAAAATCATCACAACATCAAAGTGTGATACTGTATTGACGTTGATGCTTGACGCTAGCAATTTCTACACCCATAACTTGACAGCTTATATTTGTTTGATGTCATCTTAACATCGGCGACCAAAGCCCTTTCAACATCGACGACAGATGCCCTCTCGACATCGACCTTCGATACTAACTACAAATATTAATGCCTGACTCTCGATGCTTTATACACGACATTGACCCCTGATTATCGGCATCCTAATATTAATAATTTTAAGCACAAATTCTAGTTAAGTGACTTGACTTTTTTCAGACATCAACACTTCTTCAATGACTTCAATAGTCTTCAACCCAATTCCCTTTAAACACCAAGTTAAAGAAATTTCCCTTTCATATTCCTAACTATTTTTGGATAACATGCCCATGATTTTGCAAGTTTGTTCTCACAATCACTATATGACATCTTACTAGGAACTTCACGACAATAAAGTATGAGGAATGATTGCCTAAAATGTGTTTAGCAGTGGTTGGCCAAAGATGGCACTATGCGGAGTTAAAGCGTTCACTACAATGAAGTCTGTTGTTGCATCTTCTCATAGACACTCTTGAAAATAATATTCACCGAGCTCCTTGTGTCTATTAAGATGTTGTTGATTTAATAGTTTGTAATTAGCACTGTGATGACCACTACATCATTAGCTTAATTAGAGAGACCTTAGTGCAGATATTGCCCTCATATGGCAAATTGAAGGTATCAACGATCTCTTGTTGCGACGATTATCTCGCTGCTCTACATTTCATACTCATACCTCAAAAGGAAAAGTTTGTTGGGGATGTGCAACTCTTCTTTGATCATGGTAAAATTTTCTATTAGCCCCTTGACTAATGGGGCGACTTCTCTAGTCCCTAATAAATTGCCAAAATTTTCATTCTAAATGGATCTTTTCCTTCCTCCTGCTTGTTGCAATAGTGCTGTATCCAGTGTTAAATTTCCTCGCCATTGGTATGACTATTAGTGAGTCCTAGTAGTCCCAGATTGCTACAAGTCGAGTGCATACCTGAAAGGTCTCTCATGAAAACCTTGAGTTAGAGCTGCTTAGGCCACAATTGTTCAATTCCTTCACTTCCAAAATTTCTTTCTGAAATTGAGTAGTGAAGCTCCTCAGTGACTCGCTTGGTGAATGTTTGATTTATAACAAAGTTAGTGGATAGGCACACTTTGGAGAGTAACAAAACCATGAGTCATCAGTGAGCATGAAGAACCAAACTGACACCACTCACTATGACTTGGTGGAAACAAGAGGAAAGACTCCCTGATATTATTCAGGATGCAAAAAGAAATATGTAGAGGAATACTTTATAGGAGTGTACACTAAATGGATCATCTGACTGGACAGTTTGCATGAGAGGGTTGAGACTAGTACCCTTACTTTGACACTTGACGCTAACCTTACTCGTAGTCACACTAGTGACATGGAGTGCAATCCTCTACCTTAGTGAGTGTGAAGGAGAAAACTTGAGCTAAACAACCAATTATCTAGGAGATCATTGAAGCAAGACCACCTTCCGAGTTCAAAATGCCAAACTTAGAATCTTATCAAGGAAGGGAAAAACCCACTGACCATGTCACATATTTTGTGTTAGCGACGTCACTGCTTAACATTAATGATTCCTTTAAGTGTTAGTTATTTTTTATCACCTTCAAGAAGTCTATCCTTTGGTTGTTGACTCACCTACCACTGGACTTAATTGCTTTATTCTCATAGTTCATGAGAATATTTGTCACCCAATTCACAAGCAACACCCAAAGGTCTCTCAAGAACTCACTCTTGAAGATACACCACGAGCCAGCCAAGTTGCTACGAAGCTTCATTGTTTAATAACTGAAGGAAATTATGAAGATGAAATATCCGGAGAAAGTATTCGTGTAGGCTATCCTAACGCAAGGCCTACAAAAAGGCCCATTTCATTATGTTTTTAGACTAAATTAGTCCTAGATATTGGCTGAGTTGCTTGAACTCTCGAACAGTCATATCAATGTAGAGGAATATAGTCACATGGCTGAGGCGCCCTTAATCACTCCACCAAGGGAACTCTTTATAAGGCATGATTGGCATCAAGGCCATGTACATGATAGGGCTTGCCCATGAAATCATAGAGCGGATGGGACCATGCACATGTCATAGGACTAGTGCCATTCCGATCAATCAAGAATGCCCCTGTAAGTAAGGGTGCTTAGGATTGCTGATATGGACTTTATCTTTTTATGCAAATGAGCTTGCTTGCCACTATGAGTGTATGTGCTATATGCTCTCAACTATGAAAATGCATGTGCTAATCAAGTAATAAAGTGTATGAGAAGAGTGTTGATCCCACGAGGAAATAAGTGTGCTACAACTAACTCTAGTACTGTCTTCTCAAGCCACATAATTTATCCTACACAATTAAATAAAAACTGAGGTGCTCTCATTACTGAGAAATACAATAAATAGTGGAGATAACTAGAATTAAAGATATTCTGGACTAATGATAGTGAATGAATTTATTTTTGCATAAGCAGACTCATCTAAAATAGTTGTAAATCAGAGCATGCACCCTTAGATATATGCGAGCTTGTAAAGATGTAAAATAAGGAGAATAACTATTCACACACACACACACACATATATATATAAATCTCTACACTAGGAGAAACAAATACTATCACATCATCAGCCCAAAACAAAGAAGTGAGCTGGCCACATAATTAAGTCGAAGCAAAACACATTTCATTAATTGCTTTAGAAAATATACAAAAAGAAAGATGAAAACAATATCTCCCAGAGTTGAGAATCCCAAATAGATACTGTAGATGGACTCTTTCTAAAGTGATACATTTCTTACACCTCGCTCTCCACACTCTCTTCCACACATAAGGAGTGTTTTTCTCACTACAAGGATGACCGACCACTCCAATAAATTTAACTTCACTATCTCTTGTCTCTCTTAAAAGAAAATTCAAAAAACTATTTATATTTTTTTACATAAATTGACTCAGGTGCCATGATTCTTGACAGAGTGGCG